GGAACTCGGCCTCTAGTCTGCCACGCTGATGACTCAGAAGCTAAATTTAGCGAGCGATATAAACAGAGCCAGCCACAGAGCAAACACAGGGCCCCCAAGCCCCAGTGCTGGCTCTCACGCACACCGCTCTCCACAGCCCCTCCCCCAGCCTCATTCTTCCCCTGGCACTGGCCTAGGTAGACCTCCCACTCCTGGGACAGAGGCTGGCTCCCCAGAGACCTTTCTTGTTCTAGGGCAAATCTCTGGGGCCCTGCCCAGGGCTGCCCCATTTAGAGCCTGATCAACCTCACTAGCCAAGGTCTGAGTTCCAAGAAACCACCCGCCAGCAAGGAGTGCATCCTGAGGGTCAGGAAGCAGTCAGGGGCTCTCTGAACAGGCTGCTGGGTAGAGAAGCTGCTAGGTAATAAACCATGTGAACACCAACTTGGGTATAACTTCCAAAAGAGCTCCCTAAGAACTATAAATTCAGGTCCAGGTGAAATCCTGAAGTCATCTTTTAACACATTTCCAAAAGTAGTCAACTGTCCCTACCTTAATAGCTATTTGTATTATATCCTAAAGGCCTTTCCCATCAACTCTGCAAGGTAAGTATTGGAAACCAAGGCCCGTAGAGGTTAAATGATTTGTCCATGGATATAGAGAACTTATAAGTGGCAGAGGTGGGATTTTAACCCAGATCAGCCTCCAAGTCCGGGATCCTTTCTGTGATGTTACAATGAAGGATGGTTTCAACTGAGTGGCTGCAAGTTTTCTCAGGTTTCATTTTCCAAAAAGTCTAATTCAGGGAATTTCTAAACCCAGCTTTTCTGAATGGAGATACTCTGGTCCAAGTGAAAAGGCTATTGACAACATGAAGAATTCCAATCCTCCTGTAGCTTTACTCACTCACCAGTCTACAGTAGCTGCCTTTTTTGAAGATCCTTGGTTTCTTAACATTGCCCACAAATACCCCCACAAATGTCACGATGGGCCACTGGGACAGGAGACTTTCCCAAGGGGAGGGGACACCAGTTCCTGCCCCTCCTTAGGCCCATGCTGAAGGAGACTATGGCACAGGCAAAGGAAAGAAGCTCAGACCTTCTGGCCAGGTCAGCCTGTGAGCTCAGTTAGGAAGCGAATCTGCCCCTCACTCTTCTCTGCTGAGGCTGATGGACATGGAAACACCATGACACCATCCTCACAGAGCCCAAGTCAAAGTAAGCCATAGTCAGCAGAGCATCGGGGTCGCTGCTACAGTTTGTCAGCTCATGAAGCAGCAAAGAGGGGAACCTTCACTCCTGACCCAGCCAAAGGAGAATGGGATGTGTGGCAAAGTTCAGACAGGCTTTTACCTCCATTTACTCTGCCTCTGACCTCTTGCTGCTCTGCAGACCCAAAGAGATGACAGTGAGCACTCCGACCTTCTGGTGGATCTGGAGGAGCCACCCGGAATTGATCACTGGGGTAACCAGGCTAGTCCTCCACCTAACAACACTCCTGGGAAATATACCGAAAGAGCACATGGCCTGCATAAACTGACACCCAGGGGAACTTGGAACCTGTTGCACCTTGGGTCATGTTGATACGCTCAATTTGCCACAATGCCATCCTATCCCATCATCGCGCCCCACTCCCTCTGCTCCACACCTCCAAGGGAGAAGGTTTCTCCAGTGCAGAGAGAAGAACAACTGAGGTCTGTAACTGGGCCAAAATGAGGGCGCTCACACTCCCTACAGGACTAGGGACCAATGGCCACCATCTGGCCCCAGGACGCTGCCCCAGATCCGGGGGAGAGGAGGTAGTCAGGCTTACTCAAGCTCCTTCCTGGGTTGCCTCTCTCACAGCTCTCTAAATTCAACCTACAATGATGGGGAATGACTATCATTCTCGGAGGAGAAATGGATAAGGCCAAGGTCTACAACTGAATGGAGCCTGGATGCTGATTTATCTGGACAGGGCAGGTGGAAGGAAGTTTGGGGAGGCAGCTCTGTCAGGGACCACCAGCCTGACAAGTGGACTGGGAAATGAACTGTGAACAAGAACAAATGTGCGGGACAATCAGGATTGTAAACACACAGAAGGAAACAAGTATTCAAGAATATCTACTATGGGCCGGGCACAGTGGCTCATTCCTATAATCCAGCACTCTGGGAGGCTGAGGTGGGGGGATCGTTTGAGGCCAGGAGTTCGAGACCAGCCTGAGCAACAGCCAGATCTCTTCTCTACTAAAAATAGAAAAAAAAAACTTAGCCGGGCATAGTGCCGCTGGCCTATAGTCCCAGCTACTCAGGAGGTTGAGGCAGGAAGATTGTTTGAGCCCAGGAGTCAGAGGTTGCAGTGAGCTATGATGATGCCACTGTACTCTAGCAGAGTGACAGAGTGAGACTCTGTCTCAAAAAAAAAAAAAAGAGTATCTACTATGTGCTCTGAATGTTCACAGGTATTTTGTCACTTATTCATCACAATAAAATTCTATGGTATTAGCTCTAATTTGTAGAAGAGGAAATAGGCTCAGCAAGGTCAAGTGACTTCTCAGTGGCTAGCAGGTGGCAGAGCTGGTATTCAAACTTGGGCCTTCTGACTCTGTATCCGAATCCTAGAGACTTAATCCTAAACAACTTCCTTCCCAATGCCTCAGTTTCTCTGCTTACAAAAAGGAGGGAAGGGAATAGGGAAAGAAAATAAAGGATAAGAATGGAGGAATGACAACAGTACTTTCTATAAATGAAATATTAGACCATAGTTTATATAAGAATTAAGTTCAGAAAATGACTCACTTCTTTAAACCAGCTGCTAAAAGGTCCCAGGAGGGCTAATGCTCCACCTGCCTGAAGCTATCAGCCTAGCCCTTCCCACAGGATGAGTTCCCAGTGAAGGTCTGTGGATAGGGCCAGGGAGGAGGGGATTAAAAGCAAGAGGACTCTGGGGAGAATTCGCCAAGGAAAAGACAAAAAGCCTGGTTCTTCATACTGGAAAATTTGGGGAAACCAGCTCTTTGACAAGAAAGGCCTCACTGGCTAGCCTCCTGCCATTGCAAGGTAGGAGAAGTAGACAGCTGGCAGGAGGGTGGGGGCGCAGGGAACTTGGGTGCCAGTGTGGAGTGAAGTGCAGGGCAGGGAAGACTCTCATGCAGCTCTCCTCTGGTTTTCCTTCTCCCCAGCTGGGGTGGCTCTGGCTGAGAGGACAGGACCCTGTCTGGAACTGACCTGTGCCCTCGAAGAGGTAGAGCTGGGAGAAATGATGCCGACTAGCAAAAAGCAGGGCCAGACCTTGGGATAAGGGCCTCCTCCTCCTCCTATTCAGGACTGAGTCAGGAGGAAGGTCCCCACGATTGTGTCACAGTCCTGTGCCAGGGCACAGCTGGGCAAGGGAGGCCTCCTAGCCTGCTCCCAAGCCTACAGGGGCTCACCAATGGATGGGGGAATATTCTGGGAAACAACTGCTGAAGGAGATCAGATTATTGTAAATGAAGTAAGCTGCCTTCCACATAGTCTTCTAGATGAGTCCAGGAGACCCACAGCCGCTGCGTCCTCCCATCCTCTCCAGCCCCAGGACTGGAAACTGAGCTGGGTTCAGCCCTAGGCCTGTATAACCAGGGGAGGAAAGAGGCCAAGAGACTGAAAACCAGAATCTGAGTGAGTCCACGCATGTACTGAAGGGGAAACACTAAGCCAAGTTTCCACCAAACAATCAAAGGAGGGAATAGGGCTGGAGCTTGGGCCTATTATCTAGGCATAGGGCCACCCTCCCCTCCTGACCATTAAGGGACTGAAAGAGCCAAGTCCAGGTCTAGCCCCAAATTTCCCTCAACACTCCTTGGCAGGGGCACTAACCATATCTAACCTGATGGCCTGTTCTCAGGAAACCCAAGGTCAATTCCTCTTCCCCTGGCACTGGCAATGGTTTGGCCCTTAAGTCAAATCTACTAAAACCAATAACTCTCCTCTGGTCACCTGAAGTTACCCATCTAACCTCAGGGTCTGCCCAATCGTGGTTATTTATTCTCTTGATTTCCTGACAGACAGACAAACAGAGACACACATGCACACACATGCACACGCACACAGAGCCAGCTGGGCCAGGGACACAGTCCCAGAGGTAGGGAATGTGTTCCCTTCCAGGTGGCATGCCTTTGGCTTCAGCTGTGGCTGTACTAGCACGGATCTGGCCTCAGGCTCCTCTCCCTGTCTTGGCAGCCATCCAGAAAGCCAGCCTAGAGAGGAAGGGTTAAGTGCCTGGGGGCCCAGCCCAGACAGAGGCTGCCGAGCAGGGCAGCCTCCAGTCTGTGGCACGGAGGGCTCCTCCAGCACGAGCCTGCCAGCCGCCTCCTTTGTTGATGGACTCTGCCACATGCTCCACTGACACGCGATGCTCCGCCCTGGCGGGGCTGGTGCCAGGCTGCCGGCCAAGCACCCGGCCGAGTGCCCTGCTGGCCGCCAGTCTGGGGAGACTCTCTGAGGTACACTCTCCACAGTCCCAGGCCTTGGTTCCCAGACAGACAGTGAGGAGCAGCCTCCCCAGCTGGAAAGTGTCAGGTTTCAACTGGTTCTACCACTTTCCCCCACTCAGGCCCCATCCCTTGGCCTGGTTACCGGGTTCCCACTGTACCTCAGCCAGGCACCCCCTAATTGTCCAGACTCATTGCAGCACCCTAAAATCTTCCCTTAGTTCTGTAAGGGACAATCCCCTGACCTTGTCCTCAAAAAGGGACAGTCTGTCAAGCAAGGCTGCAGAAAGCCACTCCATTCGTAGGGAGCGACTATAGCATCTCCTGACACCACTCTTACGGAGCATGAGCTGGGAGTGGGCAGATAACCAAAGTGGAGCTCAGAGATGAGGGCAAGATGCTCATCCAGTGGGGCCCATCCAGTCCATGGGAACTGCAATAGCCGAGGCCAAAACTCTGAGACCATATCCTTGAGGCCTGGCAGAGACAGAGTTGCTGAAAAGATGAGAGAGGTAGGCCCTGGGCCCCAGCCCCAGCAGACACAACCCCTCCACCCCTAAGCCCCCACGCCTACTTGCTGCACATGAAGCCGGTGGAACTGGTCTGCAATGCACTGAAGCTTTCGGGCAATCTGTACCTCTGCTCGATGTTGCCACTGCCCTTCAGCGGGCTGTTCCCCAAGGGGCAAGCCTGCAGGGAAACTGGCAGGGAGAGGAAGCCGGTAGCCAGCATTGCCTGTAAAGATAGAGGATGCACATCTCAGCATTTTCCACAACTGCTCCAACCTCCCGTGCCTGCCCCACCTGGCCAAGACTTAGGGCCAAGGGTAAACCCTAGTATGGGAAGGGAAAGGAACCAGCCTTCCTTTATCAGGGCACTCTGCCAAGCTTGGACAACCTGCCTTGCCTGCTGCCCAAGTGTAGAAAGTTGATGCTGGGAGGACAGAAGGGAACGGTCCCAGCCATCCCTTTGGTTCTCTGCTTGCTGTCAGTGCCATGGCAAAGGGCAGGGTGGTAATGTGTTGTGGGTGAACAGGCCAACCTTCTGTCCTTATTTCTCAAGCTACACTTGACCACAGTTGATTATTCATGTAGTAGCAGGTCGAAGCCCTTCTCTGGAAAAGTACGGGAGGCAGCTCTCCCTCCAGAGTTTCTGGGTTGAGCAAACAAGGGACAGAGAAAAAGAAAACCAAAAAGTGTCTTCACTTTCTTAGTTAAGTAGAAAGCGGCTGGTCTCAGCTCCTGAAGCTCTGGGCAGTGGTACAAAAACAAGGGAAAGAAAACTCCTGAGACCCACAGAACTGCCAAGTTCCTCTCCAGAGACAACCCCAGGCCAGACCTCTAGACCAGAGCTCCACACCTCCCGAGTGCTGGCATTAGAGCCACCGCTAGGGGCGCCAGCCCGCCTGCCTGCCAGCCCTATCCAACTTCTCAGACTCCCGCCAAAACTGCTTTGCCACAATTGCCCCACGGGGCAGTTCCCTCTGGGAATAACTACAGCATCTCCTCAATCTGTTCTGTTAGACATAGCAAGGTCGGACACCTTTAGCCTCCCCCCATAAGCTATTGTGCTAAAAGAAGAAAACAGCATGTCTAACCTTGCCCTTTTGCCAGAGGAGGGCAGATTTCTCATAAAACAAACCACTAAAGTCTACAAACGAAGGGGTCTTGTCTGATTTAGCCTTGGAAACATCCCCTTTGCTGGCATTGAGCCTAGGCAGGCCCAACCTCTTTCTCCAGTTCCCCTTCCAAGTACAGAAAGTCCCAAGTGACAAGTGGGGGCCACCTTCTGCCTTAGGAACCTTCCCTCCCAGAACAGGCTGGGTTTTCCCCTTCCATGTCAATAGCGAGTCACAGATCCTTCAGCCTTCTCTGAGGCAACATGAGCTACTTTATGGAAGGCAAATCATTAGCAGGATATAAAAGGCTGGACCACTCAAGGAGCACAGGATGTAAAAGGAGATCCCATGGGCCCAAGGATCCCTCCAGCAAGAGACAGAAGGGCAGAAAGAAGTGCAAGGCAGTTTGCCCCTTGGGGACCCCTTGAGAAGCATAGGTGAGTGGCAGTAACAAGCAGAGAAGCAGCAGGTTGAGAGCGGAGGAGCCAACAGCCCCTGCTGCTCAGTTTGGGGGAGGAAATAGCAAAGGGCAGGTTTGGGGAGGGAAAGTCCCCTCTTTTCCCCCAATCTCTGTGGGAAGAGTCTTGAGGCTAAAAGCACTCACCATAAAAGAGTCTCTGGGGTTCCTCGGTCACCCCACAAGGCAGCATGACACCCTGGCTTGGGGAGGCTGGGCTGAGGGTCTGGGTGGCCTTGTCTTCCTGGCTGGTGGGTCGAAGCCCAGGGCCACAGCAGTGGGTGAGAGGGAAGAGCTGAAGCCGGCTGAGGGGGCAGTCCAGCTGGCTCTGGGCAAACAGGTCAGCAGAGAGCACGCTCCCGGGCTGGGTCCCCGACTCCCCATCCTCTGGCTGGAACACATCATCCTCCAGCTCCTCCACACAGTGGGATGGCTCCATCTCCCCTGTTAGGGAGCAATGCAGGCATCTGGGATGCTGCCAACCCCATCCTGCTCCCCCTTCTTATTTGAGGGAGCAGGGCCCATACAGATGACATACAACCCTGGTAATAAAGCACAGCCAAGGGTGACACCCACTCTCCAAATGTGGACTGCCTCAAAGCTCGGGGACTCTTTACACCTCTTCCTTGGGGCCACCAGCACCACCCTTTACACCTCCTCCCCCTTCTAAACTAGGCTGGTCATGAAGTTTGACTCTGAGGGTTGTGAACAACAGCACAGGCAGGATCAGCTGCTACAAGCATGCAGGGTACTCGGGAAGTGTAAACCAGACTAGCCTCTGTAAGTGGCTCTGGGAGGGCAGAAGGGGGCTGTGGCTGGCTATACACACAATGCTACAACACACACATGCAAACTCCACCCTAAGGCGTAATCCCCAAACTCTCATCTCAGTCTGAGCTGAGCTCCAGATTCAGTAGCAAAAACAAAAGCCAGCAATCCTAGGGCAGCCAGGTTCCCTCCAAACCTGCTAAGCCCCGCCCTGCTGCCCATTTACCCTTGTCTCCACCCCCTGCTTGCACAACACAACAAACAGGCTCTGCAGTGTGGTAAGAGTATGTCCTGGGAGAGGAGATAAAGACCCTAGTTAGCCATTGCAGCTGCCCTCTCAGCTTGCCTCAGAGCAGAGTAGAGTTGCCTGTCCACTACAGGTTGGCCTAGAGGGTAGGTCCAGCCTCCAGCAAAGTTCCAGCCTCCCCAAGTGCAGTGTACCCACTAGTCTCCATGACTTCAAATCCTCATCCCCAGTCTACCATTCCTGCCAGAGCTGAACCTGAGATTGGTGGAACCTGTCTCACAGAAGGAAGTAAAATTCAGCCTTCTCTCTATGACCTCACTCACTGTCTATACTATTCAGGTTGTTGATGTGAGTTTCTTGGTGACAAAGAAGTTCCTCTTTGCTCTACCTGATGGCTCTTGGAAGTCTGAGCTTGGAACCACTCAGCATCTTGAGCTTCCAACCCAGCCCCCTACACACACACCAGGAACCGCTTAGGGCCCCCAGCACAGCCAGAAGCAGCAGCCACTTGAATGGTTAAGGATACAGAGAGACAACGTTCATCTTTGTCAGACTCAATTAGAGATCTCCAGGAGTTCTGTCCCGCAGTCTCTTTCCTTTGAAGAACAAGCCAAATGGTCTGTGGGTTGGTGAAGTACTTAAAGGAATCTGAGTAAAATTCAGAAATCCTGCCTTTCCCATATGCAAGCTCTCTCTGAAGTGTCTGCTTTAATCCTCCCTCCAATCCACCCGGTCCCCAAGCTATCTGTAGTATTGTCTCTGCCCTCTTCCCTGGAGAGTGAGGACATGCCTGCTAGGATGGCAAAGCAGACACATGGTGTTCTTTGGATAGTGTTTCCAAAGAGGGGGGTGGTGCTGTATTCCAGCTTATCAGTAACAGGAAACAAAGTTTCCTGATGAAAGGACCAAGGGCTGTCCTGCCAGTCACCTGGCAGGGGCTCCCCTCCTGCCTTCCAGCCTCCTCTCTGCAGGATGGCAATCCCAACCTAAGAAGGGGCCCTCCAAAGCCAATCACAAGCAGAAGTCATTGTCTTGGTTTTTCCTTTGAAGCCTATCACCTTCCCCTCCCCCTCCCAGCAAAGCCCCAAAGTTCAACCCTTGCCTGGACTGGACAGTGGGGGAGGTGCAGCGAGAGGGTGTGGCTCTGTGAGCCCTGGGGAGCCCTCCCACTCTCCACAGGGACTGCAGGTGGCTCTCCTGTCGGTGGGAGCCCCTGAAGGGGTGCTGGGCAAGGTCAAGTGTCAGCTGGGAGAGGGTGAAGAGATCCTCTCCTCCCTCTTCCCCTGAGCTGAAGCGGTGATGTCCAGACTGGTAGGAGGGGACACTTCTTGAGAACACTGCCAAGGAATGCTTTACTCCTAGCAAGAGGAACTAAAACCTGCTGGAGCCATCCCAGCCCTTAAGGGCTCAAAGAGGGATGCTGAACTTAGACTCTTCCTCCTTTCGGAAGGCAGCTGCCAGACACCCTGAGCCTCAACAGTGGCTAAAACCTAGAAACACACACACACCCCGCCCCCCAGACCTGGGTGACTCCAGGAGAGAGTCTCGGCCTCCGAGTCGTGATGCCAGGGCTCCGCGCCAGGGTCCAGCGTGATGAGCACTCTGGGGCTTGGCGCCCAGACTCGATTGGGAAGGAGGGAAAAAGCCCAGCTGTTAAGGAGAGGAGCCTTCAGACTCCGCAGGGAGGCACGACGCCCCACAACTCCCTGACCTACCCCAAAGTCAGACCCAGAAGCCGGCGCCCCGGTCGCCTCAGCAGTGCACCCCGGGTCCCCTGCCCACCTGGACCCAACTTCTTCGAGTCCCAAAGGCTACACTCAAGTTCCCTCTTGGAACAGCGCGCCCAGGGGCTCCGCACCCCGTTCCCTCACCCCGGCACCCCAGTTCTGCATGGTCACCCCAGACGTCCGCAGCCCAAACCCTTCCCAGGCCCCCACGCGCAGCGCGACTCTGCTCCCCACTTCCCCGAAGAGGTGCGATCCAACTCCGCCCGGCCCCCGGCCGCCGCCCGGGCGCTCACCGGGCTGCGGCGGGCGGCGGGCGGCGCAGGCAGGGGCGGCGGCGGCAGCGGGCACGGGCCGGCGCGGGAGGAGGCCACTCCGCACCGAGCGGTATTGTTTCCAAAATACGCCCGCTCGGGGCATCCCGCAAACAGCTGATGAGGCCCCGCCTCCCAGCGCGTCACACCTATGACTGGCCAATGGCGAGTGGAGCCCCAGGTCCCGGGCTGGGCGGCTGCCAGGGAGGGTCACGAATGTGCGAACCTTCCCTTGGAAACATTACAAGGGGCCGAGCAAAATTCCGACCCCTGCCAGAAAGCGCTGTTGGAGCGCCGTCGCCCGCGCGGATTCTGTTCCTGACGCAGGCTCTGGAAGCGCCAGAGAGTCCCTGAGTCTGAGTCCTGTCAATTAGGTGAGGGAGAGGGGGCGCCAGAGTGACTTTTGTCTTCTTTTCCTCCGCAATGGGCAGAATAATTGCTGCGCATTCAGAAAGGAAGGGGAGGAGAAGGCGGGCAGCTTTTAGATGCGGCCAGAGCGTCTAGTGGGTGCAAGGTGCGGATCCCAGTGGATCCCAGCCTAGTGGCAAAACTCCTCCCGCCCATCGGGCGGGTCAGAGGAAAAGTCCAGCCCCAAAGTTGTAGGAAGCAGGAGAACACGTGTGCTGGCACTATTACTGAGTGACATTCGAGTCAAACACAACCAAAGGGGCCCTCGTGTCCTCTTCTTGACTGGATGTGGACATTGGCAAAATAAGCATCTGGCCGAGGAGAGCCCAAGAATGCAGGGCGCTGCTTGGACGGTTGCCTCACATCCCGTTTATGGCAGCAGCTAGAAACTGCTGGGGCTGTACTGTAGATCTCCCACGGGAGTCTATGGGCTACTTCACAAACATTTTTTGGGCACCTACTTTGTGTCAGGTATTGGGCTACATGCCAAAAACAACCTGGTGCCTGCCCTCAGGGAGCTTACAATCTACTATGAGAGGTAGACCTGGAACTAACGAAAGTGTCAGGAATAATGACTGCTGAGGGATGCAGAAAAATTCAGAATGCAAAGACTGGGGATGGCTTCAGGGAGATGGCTTTTGAGTTGAATGGGAAAATTTTTCAATAAGGAAAATCAGGTAGAGCAGCCCAGGCCTAGGGGCAGCAGAATAAAATACAGAACAGGAGAGTCTGCCTGTCCAGGGAGGAGCAGCAGGCTGGATGACTGGATCATTGGGTGCACACTGGGATTTAGAAAGGGTGAACATAGGCAGGGAGGTTCAGGTCAGATTGCAGAAGTGTCCCTGGAATGCTGGGCTGAGGGATCTGTATTTTATAAAGGGGAGGCAGCAAAGATTTTATCAAAGATGAGTGACTGGACCAAGCCTGAACTTTGGGAAAGATAAATGATGAGTTCAGAAATCAGTGAGAGGAAGCCAGTCCCTGCAACAATGTAGGTGAGAGAAGATAGAGGCCTGACCCACCAGGGTCGGTGGGACTGGGCAGTGCTGTTACCCACCAAGCTGCTCTCCTGGGTTGTAAACTCAGACAAATTTTAGTGGAGCTGGGACCCTCAACCCAGTGGAGCCTGAAGTCTCCTTATACCTTTTTCCTACCCATTCTTTCCCTAGCTCCCTCAGGGTGTACTTGAAAAAGAGTGAATCAGCAGCTGGGCGCGGTGGCTCACGCCTGTAATCCTAGCACTCTGGGAGGCCGAGATGGGCGGATTGTTTGAGCTCAGGAGTTTGAGACCAGCCTGAGCAAGAGCGAGACCCCGTCTCTACTAAAAATAGAAAGAAATTAATCGGACAACCAAAAATATGTAGAAAAAATTAGCCGGGCATGGTGGCGCATGCCTGTAATCCCAGCTACTCGGAAGGCTGAGGCAGTAGGATCACTTGAGCCCAGGAGTTTGAGGTTGCTGTGAGCTAGGCTAACGCCACGGCACTCACTCTAGCCAGGGCAACAGAGTGACACTCTGTCTCAAAAAAAAAAAAAAAAAGAATGAATCAGGCATAATGAGGGCTGTGGTTGCTAAAGTAGGAAAATACTATCCCCACAGGACAGAGCAGAGGGAAAAGCGAAAGAGGGGAGATTCAAGGTTGGCCAACAGCCTACTTCCCCCAGGAGTTGACAGATGTCCAGCAAGAGGTGCTGGAGCCAAAAGGAGGTAAATTATTTTACCAGGAGGCTTGGCCAAGCAGGAGTGTCAGAGCTGGTCAGGGTGACCTTGTACTCGTGCCACGTGTGGGAAGATGAGGAGACCAAGCCCAGCCTCCGTGAAGGGCACTGGGAGCCCTCCATGGTTTCCCACAGACCTCCTTCCTCACCTTGCTTCCATCCTTCTCTTGTCATTGGCTTTCCTCCTGGGCCAGTATCTCAGTCTGGCCAGTGGTGCCATGGGCAGTCCTTAAGGTCAAGAGTGGAACTGCAGGACAAAGCAGCTCTGAATCTGCCCTCTGGGACAGCATAGGCCCCGAGGGGAGGGGGCCATCCTAGCTCTCCTGACCCACTTGAGATGCTAAAGCTCTGCTTCGCGTGCTGAATTTGGATCCACAAGGCAAGGAAGCTGGGAGAGCAGGGGTTTTACCTGGGATCACCAGCTCATCAGGATCCTGCGCTTTAGGGTCTATAGACCTCTAAACCTGGCTAAACTGTGTTTGTGGGTACACACAAACGTTGTGGGTGGGGTGGCTCCTTAGCTTGCAACAGTTTCTTAAAGGGGTCTGTGGCTCTATAAAAGGTGGTTTTTGTTTGTTTGTTTGTTTGTTTTTGGTTTTTGTTTTTTTGAGACAGAATCCCATTCTGCTGCCCGGGCTAGAGCGCCATGGCGTCAGCCTAGCTCACAGCAACCTCAAACTCCTAGGCTCAAGTGATCCTCCTTCCTCAGCCTCCCAAGTAGCTGGGACCACAGGTGTACACCATGACACCCAGCTAATTTTTCTATTTTTAGTAGAGATGGAGTCTCACTCTTGCTCAGGCTGGTCTCAAACTCCTGACCTCAAGCAATCCTCCTGCCTCGGCCTCCCAGAGTGCTAGGATTACAGGCCTGAGCCACCATACCCGGCCTATAAAAGACATTAAAAATCACCATTGTAGGGAAATGGGGCTGGGGAGCAGCAGGAGGTTATCTTAGTGGGTCTGGACAGTTTGCAAGTTGGAGGGAGGATCATACCCACTAGTGATATTTCTTTTAAGCCCTCTCATAGGCCTTCCCAGCCTGCTGCCTCAGGCTGGTTCTGAAGGACACCTGTGGCTTGGCCTCCTGTGCTCTCAGCCTCTTAGGTCAAGCAACAAGGGGCCCAGCCTTCTGAGCCGGAGGGACCAGAGAAGGACGTCAGGGATAAAGGGGTCAGGGAGGTCAGGAGCCTCACCCCCACCTCTCATCACTGTCAAAGCAAGCCCCTCCCTCTACGTCCTTTCTCCCCTCCCAGCACAGCATGGACTCAGCAGTGTCAGGACCTGCTGGGCTGCAGATCTGGGCTCTGAGCTCCCTGACCAATAGCAGCACCCTGGGGACAAATGACCCCTGGGCTTTTAACTGGGTTCACAGCAAATGCACACTGCAGCCCGAGCAAGCTCTCTCTCTTTCTCTTCCCATCTCTTTCCCTGCTGAGTGATGCTGGCTCTGGAAGGAGGGTCCCCAGAGAAAGAAGGCAAAGTTTCTCTGAAAGGCATCAGCGTGGAGGCTGACAGAGAGCTGCACCTTCCCTGACAATCTGGGAGGGATGCAAAGAGTTAAGGGAAGGCTGAGTTCAACTGGAGAGAAAACCCAGCTCCCTGCAGAAAGCGGGCAAGAGCCCTCTCCATTGTTTCACCTGGCTATAGGATTTCTCTCAGAGACAAGGAATGGGCTCTAAAACTGCAGTAACTGGATCGTGGAGAAGGGAGGTTTTTAAAAAACCAGCTGACAGCTGAATAATAGGAATTACCAGGCAGGCTGCCCTGGGGTTACTGAGGTTTGTAACTCAACCCCCAGAGAGGGGCTAGATTGGAAACTGATTTATGGGTAAGGGGGGGGGTCTTGCTGGGGGAGTCCATGGTGCCTGACCCCCTTACCTCTTAACTCCCTCCAGAAGGGCTCATCTATGTAAGAAAGACCAGGGACCTAAAAGACTTGGGTGTCCTTCCCTGGCTGGACTTGCCCTAATAGAGGGAATTTATGTCTCTGTGTATCATTTCAACTGTCTGCAAAGGACAGTTCCTCTATTCTGAGTTGTACTCTGTGTGTGTGTGTGTGTGTGTGTGTGTGTATGTGTGTGTGTGAGAGAGAGAGAGAGAGAGGCAAAGAGACAAAATATACCAGAACAAACATTGGCTTCCATTGGTTGGACAAGTGGGGAGACTAGATTTCCTAGTCGATGAGCTCACTGCTTGCCAATCACTGGTTCAGTGAGATTCAAATAGAAAAGGCACCATACTAAGGAGAAAGCATCTGAGGATTCAGAGACCTGAAGGGAAACGCAGACGAAGGACTAAGGCTACCATGCTCAAGTCCAGAAGAACCCAAAAGATAAGGCGAGAATTACGACATTCAGCATATATTCAGTTTTGTTGGGAGGACTACTCAGTGGATATTTGTGGAATGAATGAATGAATGTACATTTCCACGTTTGAAAAGTACGAAGAGCTCTGCTTTAGGAAGGGGGAAGAAAGCTGC